AGTCCTAAATTTTTGTGCTTGTATTTTGGTCTGTGTACTGTAAACATGTAATGTTTTAGTCCTCAGCCTATGTTATTTTCCCTTTTTATTTGTTTTCACATTTAGCTTGTAATTTCTGGTATTTGGTAATTCAATCCTAGTTGTTTTGATTAATTTACTGATCAGTTTGTATTTTGGTTGCCTAGCTTTAGTGTTTGTCATTTTAGTCCTATATGGTAGCATTAAATTTAGAATTGGGTTTTTAGCGGTAGATTTAATTTTTGTCCATAAGTAATGACATTCATGTTACTATTTTATGTATGGTATGTACATTTTTATGTATGTATGTTATGCAATTTTTATTTTATTTTCAACCTTAAGTAAATGAGATAAATATTATATTTGCAGTTATTAAATGATTAGACATAAGAAAATTTGTTGCATATTAACATAGTAGGTTTATTTGTTTAATATATAATTATATGTGCATTTTTAGATTTAAATATTTATTCGGATGAGTTGTATTATTTAACTAGTTTATGTATGATATCCTCATAAGCATGACTCGACATTATTACATAATTTGATTAAGGGTAATATCCTTTTAATTTAAAATTGTTTTAAGTGGGTTGTCTTAACTGATTAGATATCCACTTTCGACGATTTTAAATTAAAAGTGTATCCCATCAGTGACACCTAAGAAATTGATTTATCACCTTAAAATTTGGGAATGGAAGAAAAAGAAATATTCGGTTATTTAAATTTATCGAGAAAAGATAGTTAGAACTTATCTAAGATCTGGTCTCGATACTTGTAAATGATCGAATATTCTTTATCTTTCTAAAGGCCTGGTAATTTTAATTTAATCTATTTTGGTGCTTTTGATTGTTGTAAAATTCATGTGTTGTTTTTTAGGGATCATAAACCAAACTAAAATCGAATTTGTAAATTTCATTGCAAAGACATTAATTAATCGACGAGGTACCGATTTAGGGCGTTGTGGGGGTGCTAATCTTTCCCCACGCGTAACCGACTCCCGAACTCATTTTCTGGTAACGCAAACCTAAATTTGTTGTTTTAATTAAAATTAATTTTTATTTAAAATGACAAAACATTTTTTGGTGTCTAATCACACCCTAATCAAAGATTGGTGGCGACTCTTCGAACCTGTGCTTTTATCGTGAATGAATTCCCAAATTTTCGGAACGAGAGGTTTTCTAAAATCACATTGTTTTTAATTAAAAACCAACCATAAATAGAATAATTAAAAATGACGTGGCTTTTCAAAATCTCGCTCCCCCCACTCGTTTAAAAATCGTTTCGACACAATACTACCCATGCAAACCTAGGATGAAGTATTCAAATGTTGATCTTAAACAACCCAACACTTGACATCTCATTTACCAGCATGCTTGACAGGGGTAATATCCAATACTACAAAAAGGATACACAACAACCATTCTCGGTTCAGCAAATATGCTACACGCTTTGTATTTTGCTTGATATTTCTTTCGCTTTTACACCTTTTTACTGCCGTAAAAAAGTATAATTTGAAATGTGTAAGTCCGTCATAAGCATCCAGTCATGGTAATGAAAATGAAAAGTAAACTTCACACAGTGAAACAACTATATTTTCAACACCAGAGGGTTGGAATTGTTATTTCCATCGTGTGGATCTTTAATCTAACCAAAAAACTTCCCGAAAACAACACAAAATACATAAACCACAGATCGGATCAAACTTTTTTGCATTACCCCAGAAAAAAAACGTGGATACAAGAAGACAAGCCTGGAGATTTATACGTATAGTATCATGTAACTGAAGCAACACCGAAAGTATAAATGCTCTCTTGACACGGCATAATTTGGTAAAAACCGGGAATCCAATAAGACATCTTTTGAACATAAATAATCTGCTTAGCTATTCTTTTTTATAAGATTCAAAGTGGAAAAAAAAACAATGGTCAATACAGGGTTCAGTAACAAGGCCCCTTCCCAATATACAATATTATCCAGGTGACCATTAAAATCCATAAGAATATTGCAATATCTTATTTTTAATCAGTGTTGTCACAGGTGCTGGTGCACTCAAGGCGCTAAGACTTCCGTATAGCCTAAGGTACAATGCAAAAAAAAAAATTTTGACCTAACTTCCATAATCTCTTGAATAGTGTATCTTGCAATAAAATTTTGGGTTAGTTCCATGTTATTTTCCTGATAATAAGGCTAGTTCCATTGTATTATCTTATCTCAGTTTTTATCTATTTATTATTCATTTAGAAATCAGCTTCGGGTCCTGGTGTCTAAAATCTGAGATTCTGCCTAATTACACAGTTTTCAAACCTGCAAAGCGACCACCAGATGGGTATGTTCAATCTTCCTAGTTTCTCCATGAATTTGAAAGGTCATTGAAGGGTTATATGCTCCTACACCTGTTCGGGTATGCATCAAACATGGATGTTGGAGAAGGTACTTCAAGAAAAATAAAGAGTTGGGACAACGGGTATTACAACCTTACTATATACAAATAAGTTTATCAACTGATTGGGTGACATGTGCAAGTAACCTTGATAATGAGAAAGTTCATCACTTCTAACATGTTTCAAAACCATAAGTATCTTGCTGCTGTTCCAAAATCATCAGTAGATCATCAAACCACAATTGATTAGATGAAATTCTGTCAGATTTACAGAATCCGACAGATATGACAACAAGCTCCTCATAGTTCTGGAGTATGCTCAGTTTTTTTCCTCAGATTTTACATATATTTGGAGGGTCGTACCTTCTATATATGTATGTCAAACATAGGAGGCAGTTTTGGAAAAATCAAGAGTAGGGTAAACAGGTTGCAAATAAACTTGATGAAATAAACTAAGCGGTTAAGAACTTCAGCAAAAGGTGATACATCTTGGGGTTAGCTCAAGATAACCTTCCAGGTGATGATTGGAATGGAGAATTTGCGACTGGTTCAGGTGTCGAGTAAAAATTGAATTGAAGATAGAATACGGTCGGAACATAAGAATCCTACAGTCACAAGATACAGAAGCACTATGAATTCAACTCAAAGAAGGAAAAAGTCAGAATGGGTGTTTTCCTTTGTCCAACGGCATGGATTTCAAAGAGGATGAATCCTTAATGTTTGAATCGAGGAGAAGTAATTAAATCAGTTTGTGTCCAACAGCATGGATTTCAAAGAGGATGGATCCTTAATGTTTTCCTTGATGTGTCGCATTTACATAAGACGAGTGCTTATTTATAGGCTCCCAAAAACCCTAAAAGAGAAAACCCTAGCATCTTTTAATTAATGCTAGGTACACTATTTAAAAGAAGAAGAAAAATCCTAAAATAATAAAAATATCATAAATTACCCCAAATACATTATGAAAAGTGTAAAGTTGAATTTAATTACAAATATGCAAAAATCATTGAAAATTCGTAATAAATTAAAATTTCCGTATTGGGCATGTATTCAATTTTCTGCATGCGCTGTCTTCGCTAAAATAATCCTGAGTTCCCGACATCCGATTGAGACATTTCAAAATGCGTTGGAAAAATAATTGAAAGCCGGTTACATTTCAAGAAGACATCATGACTTGGAAATGCACAGATCTCACTTGAAAATTTGTTGAAAGTAAGATGATGCTTCATACTTCGAAACCCGCTTTAATAAAAATGTTTGGGCCTTAAAAAAGTAGGTCGGACAAAAATCGGGTATTACACTCTAAGGCAAGGAGCAAGGAGAAGCTAACTCTTGAGTGATTCAAGGACGTTTTCCGTCGCCTAGCATCAAGGTAACACGGTTCTAAATTGTCCATACCACATGTAGGTCATTAAATGTGCATGAATGGTTTGTTTTGCTCATGAAAACATGCTAGAGTAAATCCATGGTAAATTTCGTATTTGATGTTTGTAAGCATGAAAGATGACACCTTTTGATCTCTGAGACCTTAAATAAGATTTTAATAACCTTTGTTAGTCTTAGGAGGTAGTTTTGGAGAAAAATCAAGAGTAGGGTAAACAGGTTGCGAATAAACTTGATGAAATAGTCAACGTGATTTTAAACTAAGTGGTTAAGAACTTCAGCTAAAGGTGATACATGTTGGGGTTAGCTCAAGATAACCTTCCAAATGATGATTGGAAAGGAGAATAGTCTCTGGTTCAGGTGTCGAGTATAAATTGAATTGAAGATAGAATGCAGTCGGAACATAAGAATCCTACTCGCGCAAGATACAAAAGCACTATTAAATCAACTCAAAGAAGGAAAAAAAGTCAGAATGGGTGTTTTCCTTTGTCCAACGGCATGGATTTCAAAGAGGATAAGTCCTTCATGTTTGATTTGAGAATAAGTAATTAAATCAGTTCGTATCAAGTTTATTGTATAATCATTGACATTCACAAAAACTCATGCACCAATGATAGCCTTCATAAAGTAATTCCAACAACCGCATGACTTCAACTACTGCACCATGGAAGTCCCCCTTACAAGTTAAATAAAAACTATAAGGGGTTCTTGATGAATGTTATCAAATTTTAACTCCATAAATAAACTGACTAGATTTTATAATGTATACTGCATTTGCAGGGTATCACATGTCTAAAAACTTTCATTTGACCAATATTCTAGTGTTTCAAAACTAAGCACTAAACACAACCATAGAGGTGTGAAATCATGTTTTATTCTTTAGATTAAAGATTGAAAGAATTAGATCTGTGACCCCAAAAGTTAGGTATTCAGAACAACTTGGAAAATTTTAAATGTATAAGATGTGCTTTTGACATCAGTACTTCCATATAGCACAATGTACCCATTTACCACATTTCCGCTCCATATAAAATCAGTTCCTATGAAAAACCTAAAGATGCCAAAGGTTTATTCATCTCCTAAATCAGTGGCGGATCAATGTTTGGTTTAGGGCCTGAAATCTACATTTCTTTATGTTAGTTATCCATTTTACTGATTGTGCCCCCAGCCCACCCTCAGTCAACATACATAAATTGTGCTTTTAATATATGTGTGTTCACCCCAAGAATATTTCTTAATCCGCCACCACTGTCTGAAATACTAAAAGCTACAGGCAATCTCATACATATGATATAATCCAGGAGAGGAATCGAATCAGGACACCATGCTCCCTTAACTAAGATCAAAGAAACAACTTTAGACTATATTTGGAGATACCACGAGAATTGAAGCATCAAGGAGTTTAAATCAAGGCATAATACCAAACTAAATGAGCTAATAGTACTAATGATCTGAAAGTTTAATTTTCCCTTGGAAGGGTACCATTTAAAGTAATTTATTTACACTTACCAATCCCTTGTTCTCATGATAATCGTCCAGTGCCCATTGATACTTGAACTGATTTAAGACAAACCAGCGAGCTAAATGGTCATCCAAGCTAGAATGAGCTGAAAAACATCAACAAGAACAGATGCTAATACAAATGCCTTTTCTGTTTATCATCTACAAAATAAAGAAGAACGGAAACACTAAAATTGAAGCTAATTCGCCATGCCAATGGAAAACCTAGAGAGAGAAAACCCATTTCCTTTCTGCAAAACTCTAGCATTAAATAACCCAAAAAACGCAGAAAATAAAAGGTGGAGAGGAAAAGCAGATACCATTTTGGACCTCAAACGCAGCATCTTTTAAAAAGCCCGGAATGGATCCATCAGCATCTTTTAATTCTTTAACGATTAAAGTCACTTAATTCTTGCAAATTGTTAAGTAATTTCCAAAACCCTAATTAACATAGCATAAAGTTGAACATTAAATATATAATATTTTCTATAAAATAACTAAACTATCTAATCAACATAAACTCGTTAAATTAATATAATGTGAAACAAAATTTTAAAGGGTAAACCATATGTTTTACACTCTAACTATCATTTTGTTTCATTTTGGTTATCCAACTATTTTTTTTAAAAGTATTATATCTTAGGTTACGTTTTGGTTTCTTTCTGGTCACTTATCGTTAAAAAATTAACAAAATTAATTACGTGATATTTTTTTATTTTTTTAATTATGATGTGACATTATCTTATGATAACACATCAATATCACTGTCAATATTTTAATGACAGATGATCAAAATGAAACTAAAACTAAACATTATATAAGATTAAAGATGACAATTTAACCCAAATTTGACGGATTTCGAGTTAGATTTTTTTTTTATAAATGTTTTGGGTTCAGATCATGCCGGGTCGGGTGGAGGGTAAAAAACTCTGACCCGACCTAACCCAAGGATAATAATGTATTTTCGTTAAAAAATCGGGTCGGATTTCTACTCTAAAAATTCAAATCAAGTTGGAGTTGAATGGAAGATATATATTTTTCAGGTCAAGTCAGGTCGAGAGGTGGGTATCAAATTTTCGAATCAGATTAAATTTGAGTAGAGGATGCATATTTTCAGCTAATTTTGATTTCTTTTTGTAGTTTTTTTTTTTCCGGCTATTATGTTCCAACTTAACAAATTTCTCTTTTGGCCTTTTTAGCGTAAGATTTGACGCGATGAAGAGAGCTGTGCCATGGGATGCTAATGAGACGAACGATTCATCATCATCTGAAAATCATTTGTACTGAATTGAATGGAATGGATATCTTCCTTGATTTTGATTATTTTGCACGTAAATTAGGATCATGACTGAGTTTTACATTCATACTCTTACTATTGTGACCATTTAGATTCATTCAATGATTCTAAATCAATAGCAGAATGGGAGACTATATATATAGTTAGTATCTACTTACGCAATGTAAAACTATTTAGTAAATTTAATACAATTGGATGAGTGAAAATAGATGAATGAGATTTACTACTTGTTTTTCTTTATCAATAAATATTTCATATTTTCCTACTTTTTTTCACTCATCCAACGATCCTAGACCTGCGTAAAACTAAAAGAATTTTACATTGTGTAAGACGGAACTATGGTTATTGTTAATAGCAGAATCGTAGTATTGTATCCATGTACATTAACGTTTGTGAATCTCGGCCGTCCATATACCTTCATTCAATGATCCTAAATCAGTAGCATAACTGAATACTACTGCATATATATACGACTGAATCCGTGTACCTTGCTAGTATTGAAACTATGGTTATTGTTAATAGCAGAATCCTTGTTTTTCTTGGTAGGTGTGAGATACTGCCCTTTGTGTAACAAAGGGACGAAGCAATGTATGACCTTATTTATCATCTTTATAAGTACAATAATGAAATTTGAAGGCTCTGCAAGTTTACTTGACATTCTCTCTCGTGCTTCATAAAAATATAAAATAAAAAAAATCTCACTGAAACTGGGTGTTCCAATACATATCCACACCCAAGCGTCATAACATTTTCTTTTTCTACATAACGGCACGAACATTATACTGATGAGGTTCGAGTTATATCAACTGAAATATGGTTTAAAGATTGCTGGATTTTCTTTACTATTCTCTCCTTTACTGCTACAATATTTTTATTTGAATTTCTGGGTAAAAGAAAAGTACCCAGTTTACCTTCTTTAGCTACATATGTACACAGCAAAGTCTGGGAAACAAAAAGGAACCGGGTTGGATTTCGAAGCTTTGAAGCGACATGGATATAAGGGAGGATTATCTGTGTTGAATGTGCCTCCTCCAAAAGAGAAACCAGACTGGTCTTGGTCAACTGGCAGAGACAGCAGTGAAACCAGGGATGTTAAAGAATCTTTCGAGGACAGACAGAAAACAAGGGCTGCGGTATTGGATGTGGCGGAGCTGGCTAATGTACAAACTCGGAAAGAGAAGCAGAGTGTTTCTTTTTCACAGAAGGAGAAGCGGAAAAGAGAACTCGGTCAGGCTGGCAGGGGGAAGAATTATGTCGAAGAAGAGAACAGGTTGCTCCGGGACAGTGGCATCTATTCTGGTTTTGATACTTGATTTATGAGGGAGGGAATGACTAATGAGCTTTCTCACCATGTTTGATACTTAATTTTTGTTTCATTTTAGTATCCCATTCAAAATTTAACATTAAGTTTTGAAAAGAATTGAAAGTTTAAGTATTAAAACAGATTAAAACTGATAGTTTAAGTATTAAACACATTATATTTTTAACGGTGAGGGTACTAAAATGAAATAAAAATTAAACATTAGGTTTGATTTTGAAAAAAAATTAAAAGTTTATATACTAAAATAGATCAGAACCGATAGTTTAGGTACTAAATCTGTACTTTACTCTCCTTTTAATTATGTTTTTAGTGATTGATTCACGTGTTATTCAAATGCTTATTTAAAACCATTTTATGAATTTTAAAATAAATTAAATAATAATTTTAAATCATAAACTTTTAATCTGGGGGGAATTAATTTACTCATGCACAAACATTGGATATGTAAGCGTTTAGCTATTATACAAGTAGGTTTGATTTCAGCCGTTTATGTTTTCTTAACACTAGAAGGGCCTCAAAGAGGGGATTCATATAAGTATAAGCTGGCTAACTGATTGTTGGACTTGATTACCTTACGAAAGAGGGACAACAATCGGAGCTGGTTGTACCCATTGTTGAGTCGGAGAACAGTCCCATCCACCATCTTTGGTGTGTGTCACCGTGAAATGTTGGGGAACCCAAGTTTCTCCTTTGGACTCTCTTTCCCTCAACAGCTCCCTCTGTTTCTCCTCCACCGTGTTCTTCGCCTCTTTTGCTTTCTCCCAATCGTGGCTCAGTATCGCCTCGCTTAACTCACCCCAGACTGCGGCCGACTCGGTCGGTCGTACTCCCTGAAAGTGCAAAGAAGAGAAAGATGAAGATTGAACTGGCTCAGGTGGATGCATGTGAACATGAACGTTATTGTGTATGAAATATGAATGCCAGGTGATTCAAATACATTGCACTAGTATGATTCTGATTTGATTGGCTCAGGCAAACTGGTCGTTATTGTTGTTAATGGTGAAATATGATTGGATTGGCTTTCGGTGGTTTATATCTTCTGATTTGGATGGAGAGTCACGATGAGTGATTTTGTGAAGGAAGTAGAGAATTGTTGAGCTGAAGAAAATGATAAACAATAAAAGAGGTAGAGAGAGATTGAGATCGAGAGTCTCAAATTCTTTCTCTAACTTTTGTATGTTATTTATATATAAACTCTTAGTATCGATGTCAGGCTTAGAGGTGATGATAGTCGTTTGTATATTGATAAACTAAATAAATTTGACTATCAAATAATATATTTGGCTAAGATAAATCTCGTCGGTTAATCCGTAATCATGTCAAGAATCGTATATAACAATTACCTCCAAATCATTAACAATAGGAGTTTTCATCCCGGAATAAACTTCTTCTGCATTGTATATAACAGTCTGCTTTCCACTAGTATCGTCCTTCATTGTAACAGTTCTGCACGAAAGCATAAACACTAAACAGTTCACATCACTACATAAAAATATTTTCAGATTTCGAGCTCGGAAATAGAATACCTGTCCCAACTGCCATTCACTTGAAAAAGGGTCCTCTTAGTTGATGTCCGGTAGATCTTTCCTTCAACTGATCTCTGACTTCCTCTAAAGCCAAGATAAGACTTGTGCCCGAACCGTAACTCGGCTTCAAGGCCGTTATCCGGGCACCTGATCCTAACATCTCCATTCCAATCGATACCCGGGATCGGGAGAAATCTTATCAAGAGGTTCGGAGAGTTCATTTCGTATGTTTCTCCTCGACTCAGGAGCTTAAGTTGCCTCTTCCCTCGCACCTCGTTCACAACCGCGACACCTAGAGTAAGCGATTATCAAACATTACCAATGGCTTCAACGTTAAGCAATGCTGCCATAGGCTGTAATTCTGGTAAATCTGCTTGAAATACTATATAACTGATAGGTGAGAAAATGGGGTACGAACCATTGAACTTAGGAACACATTCTTGACACCATATGAGTTCAATATTGTGGTCCTCATCAGTTGCATGGAGAGCAGAAACTGGTGGGTGGTGAGAAATCTGCAAGAAAATTAGAAGTAATAATTAATTAACATTGGTATAAAACAAAGGGTAAAGTACACAAATAGTCCGTTGACTATAGGTGTTGTTTTATTAAGTCCTCTGACTATTAAAAGTTATAAAATAGTCTCCGACTATAGTACGTTGTTTTGTTGAGTCCTTCGATTATTAAAAGTTACAAATTATTAACCCGACTATTCATATGTTCCAAACTCTTTATTTTTTGTTCAAAAATTGGTGGTCGCCTAAGCTGGACATTAACTTATTCAATATGATCCCAGAACTATTTGAGTTGTATTTTGTAGATTGACTCTCCATTTATATTATATTGTCGAGCCAGTAATTGAAATATTATGTCGTCAAGTCAGTGCTTGAAAGCAACGACGGTTCCAGTAGACATCATTGAAATATGAATATTTCAGTCAATAAGTTAACGTCCAGCTCAGATGGTCGTCAACATTTAACGAAAAATGATTGGTTTGGAACACATGAATAGTCATCATTTTGTAACTTTTAATAGTTGAGAACTCAACAAAATAATGTCATATAGTCGATAAATCATTTTATAACTTTTAATAGTCGATAGACTCAACAAAGCAACACCTTATAGTTGGAGACAAAGTACCTGCTCGAGTAGGACATTGAGAGATGCCCTTGAGACATGATGAGTCTCGCCAAGGATGGGGTTGTAAGGGGCTAACCCAAATATTGGAGGTCGCAAAGTGGAAATACTCCAACGCACAACCGATATGAACCGGTCCACAGGGTTGTCTGCCTGGTTACAGCTGCTTAGCATGTCCGTGCCAATGCAGTAAACTGTTTCCCCATAGCATTGAAGATGGGACTTGGGGAAGTTGAATAGAGGTGGCAGCTGAACAAACAAATTCAACAAACCCAAATCTCTATCAATTCTATTGTATTTGGACTTGTTTTATTCACATTATATCTTTTGTTTAGCTGTTTTTGTTTGGCATAATACCCAAAAAAAAATATATGTTCGTAACACTTCAATTAAATAATTATTTTGATCTCTTTTTTGAAGCATTTTGTCTTAACTTCATTTTAAGGGGAAATATCACCAACATTTGACTAAATATTTACTTTAGTTCTTATGCTTTTTTGGGAGCATTTTAGCCCCCAAGTTTCATTTTATGACAAACATACCCTTATTTTAGAGTGTTAATTGCTTGTTAACTAATAGATTCGATCAACGGAGGGGTCTTTTGCCAAAAAATGAAATGTTAGGAGTCAAAATACTAAAAAAATAAAAATGACCAAAATGATTATTTAATCTAACTTTAAAAAATTATTTTATCATTATATATATATTTTATTTTGACTTGTTTCAATCGATCAAATCTAATTAAATTATACTATCATATATTTGGATCAACTGATATAGTTACACTTTAATTAAGAATTCATGGATGGGATATTAAGGTGAAAGAAGGAAAAGGCATGAAGTAAACTTGCCTTGAAGTAGGTGAGATCAAAACCTGGTCCTATATCCTTGAAGAGGCTTAAAATTCTTTGGATTGGCTTAGGAGCCTTGTAACTTAAATCCTCCTCTGAATCCACATAAAGTGACAGTGGCCTCCATATAATCACTTTCCTTACCTGCTCACATGTCCCCATCACCAATTGTTACTAACATTTTCATTTTGATCAAAACACAACACAAATTTTAATTCTCTTTTGACATTTCAGTTGTAACAATTTGCAGCATTGAGAACTAACAAGTTATGTACTACTTGTATGAGAGAATGATGTTGAGAAAATCCTAAGCAAATCTCAATTTTTTTTCTTTAAAAAAGTAAATTTATCAACCAATCTACTTATTTTCTTATACTAAAAAATTTTCAAATATGGTATAACTCTAAATAAAAAAATATATGAATCTTAATGTTATCATAATTTAAAATTAATAGAATGACCCTTTTTTATCTCTAATTTTATGAGTCCAAATATTTAGTCCTTAAAGTTTCTATGTTTTTTATATTTTGATTTTTTTTTTCAAATTGAATTCAAATGCGACACAAAATAACGACGCTGTTGAATTAAAGTTAGCTATTTTATCTTCTTTACCACATGATCAAAAAAAAATTAAATGCAATTATTTTATCCTTAGTGAAATGTTTATACTAATTTCTATTTGTTGCTTTTAATATTTTCATCCTTTTATAATGAGATAAAAATGATAAAATGGTTGATTATGTTATTATTAGGTCATTTTTAAATCAAATTGACAAATAAAAAGAATAGTTCTAAAATAATAAAGGGTAAATTACGTGTTTAGTACCTAAACTATCACTTTTTGTTTGTTTTAGTACCTAAACTTTCATTTTTTTTTTCAAAATCATACCTAATGTTTAGTTTTTGTTTCATTTTAGTACATGTGTTCAAATTTTCACGTTAATTTTTTTGGAGAAAATGAAAGTTTAGGTACTAAAGCGGATAAAACTGGTACTTTAGGTACTAAACACGTTAAGTTTTTATCGGTTGGTACTAAAATGAAACAAAAACTAAACATTAGGTTTGATTTAAAAAAAATAAAAGTTTAGGTACTAAAATGAACTAAAACTAATAATTTGTGTACTAAATGTGTAGTTTACCCTGTAATTAAATTGATAAAGTTGAGGACAAAAAAGATAACTCTAGTATAATCGGAATTGGAGATAATGGATCCAAATGTATTGATAATTGTCCAAAATTACCAACTCTCCAAATATAATAATAAAAGGGAGTAAAGTAAATGAGAATTTGACAAAAGTCGATAGGGAATTGCAATGCAGCAGTTGAGTTGGCTTAGTGACTGCACCCAAACAACCAGCCATTTGGAAACCATTCACAGAACAAATCAAACACACGCAAAAAAAACAAGGAAAAAAATTCTTCCATCCCTAGTATTTCTATCTTAATTCCTCTGCACATATGTTAATACTTTCTACGAATCCAAGCAAAATGAAAGCCAAAAAAATAATTAATGGATATATCTATTTTCTTATCAACCAGATTAAACATGTTGAGGATCACCGTACAGCGTGCGGCATCCAAAACCGGCTTTCAGGCAAGAAGAAGAGGGACAATGAATCATGAATAATCAGATGATAAAACAGTTTTTCCTTCTCTTTTTTTTTCTGAAATGGCGATGAGTTTTACAGAATTGAAAAATACGTAAAAGGCGAGAGTTCATACCATTTGAGGAACGGGGAGAAGCAATCCAAAGAGCAGAGCAAAGAGAGAGAGAGAGAGAGATGGCCGGAGAGAAGCAATACAGAGATGAAACAAGGGAAAAGGTTTTGATTTTTGATGGAATATTACAATGCTTTTTTGGAGTTTTTATAGAAATGGAGCGAGGGGAAACCAAAAACAAATTTGCTGGCAGCAATTGTTTTACGAATCTATAAATTTAATATCTAAAGAGATGGCCTAACAATTTAGGAGGGTCATGGGTCGGGTTTGGGTCAACCTGATCTAACCAAAAATTTTACATCATTTATTCGATTTGAACTCGATTTGATTTTTTGAGATAAAATTTAAATCCGATCTGAATCGACCTGAAATAATAAAAAATATTATTTTTATTCAATAAAAATATTGATTTAATTGAAAAATTAATATATAAAGGTGTATTATTGTAATTATTTTTAAATATATAAGGTAAAATTATTATTTTTTGGGTATGATCGGATTGAGTATTTTTCACCCTAAACCTGAATCCAACCCGACCCGAATACCACTTTTAAAAAACCTGACACAACCTGAATTTAAAAAAAAATCGATCTAATCAAATCGAATCAAGTCAAAATCCGTCGAATTCCGATAGATGACCATCCCTACCTAGCATTGCATAAATGACCTTTCAGGAAAAAAACAGAAAAAGCATTGCATAAAATGGGAGAGGGAATCAAGGCAAAAGCCATACCTCGTGTTATGGTTGTTGAATCGGTTAATTCCATTGGTAAAAATATCAAATTTATTACAATTAAATTAATCAAATTCTTCCTTTAATTATTAATTAAAATATATTTTTTTAAAAAGATATTAATTCGAATTGAACACAATTTAGTTAATCTGATATTTTTTTAGGACAAACAACGCATTTAGTATCTAAACTATCAGTTTTGGTATGTTTTAGTACATAAAATTTCGATTATTTTAAAAATATATCTAATGTTTAGTTTTTATTTTATTTTAAGAGGGATGGCAACGGGGTCGGATTTTTGGTCAACTCGACCCTACCAGAAGATATGTATCCTCCATCCGAACCTGACCCGACTTGAAAATTTTATATCCTCCATCTGACCTGATCCAATCCAAATAATATAAATCATCCACCCAACTCTAACCCGACCCGAATTTTTAGAGTATAAATTTGACCCGACCCGGTATAAAATAAGAACTTAATTAAAGAATAATATTTTTAAAAAAAAAATTAAATTATTATCCTTGAGTCAAGTCAGGTTGGAGTTTTTCACCCTATACCCAAACCCGACTTGACCCGATCTTACCCCTTAAATATTCGATCAACCATAACTCGATATTTAAAAAAAATCTGATCTTATCGGATTAGGTCAGGTCAAACCCGTCGAATTCGAGTTAAATTGTCATCCCTACATTTTAGTATCCGTCGTTAAAAACTTAACAAGTTTAGTACCTAAACTATAGGTTTTGGTCCGTTTTAGTAACTAAACTTTAATTTTTTTTAACTTAACGTTATGTTTTTAATAGGAGTATTAAAATGAAATAAAAACTAAACTTTAGGTCTGATTTTGAAAAAATGAAAGTCTAAGTACTAAAACCGACCAAAACTGATAGTTTAAATACCTAAACGCGTAGTTTACCCTTTTTATTAATATGAGATGAATACAATATAATATTTATTCAAAGACTCTCAACCATCTAATATTAATGTTCGAATCTAGGATCTCAAGGGATAACAACAATCTCTTAATCATTGAATCGTTTTAAGTTAGGATAATTTGGGTTTAATTTAGGTGTTTTTCATTTGAGCTAAAATTTGATTAGGTATTGAAAGTTTAATGGGTCTAATGTGATTAAAAAATTGAGTCTTAATTCTTAAAGGGTGTAGGTTTAAAATATATATGCCGTATGTATACTATATTAAACATTTAATATTTTTATTATTTTAGTTAATAAATCGATTTCAAACTAAATTAATTAATCGATAATCAAACTTTGAAAAATTTAGCGTTAGCTAATCTAATACCTAATTATATGATCGATTAACTCAACTAAATTTCAATTTGACCAATTAATTCGGTTAAAATCGAATGACTAACAACCCTACTTCTCCTCTTTGACCCACAATTAAGTTCCTTTTCACAATTTGATTCATGTTTTTACTGTCTCTTGTTAATAAGTAAACTAATTGGAAGAGTTATTTTATATTAAGTATTTATAATATTTAATTTAGATCAATTTATTAATAAATTAAATATTAATAGTTATACTAAAAATATATCTATTTTGTAATTAATTATAGTTTTCAGACTACTTAACTGTTTTAATAAAATATACTTAATAAAAATAACTTTTATATTAATAAAAATACAAGTAATTGTTATGCATTTGGACTTATAATTGATATGCACGAACCAAGTGATCTCGGTGGTAAAGGAATTGTTGTTATTTCTCGAGGTTTCGGGTTTGAGCACCATAAATGTCAAGGGTGTGAGTGTTCAATGTTAAATGGTAGAGAGCTATCTTTGAAAAGATATCGTCTTGTACTTACCACTTATTAATAAAAAAAAAACTCTTTATATATAAACTTTTATGGTAAATTACATGTTTAGTATATGAACTTTTACTTTTATTTTGTTTTGGTCACTCGACTATTTTTTTGTTTCAAAGTAATACTTAGTGTTATGTTTTGATTTCATTTTGGTCACCTATAGTTAAAAAATTAATGTTGTTGTTGACTTGTCACCATAAGATAATGCTATGTCATCACTGAAAAAATATTAAAAACACCACATCAACATTTCTGTTACTTTTTTAACGACGGGTGGCCAAAAATAATTTTGAAAAAAAATAATAGTTAAATGACTAAAACAGAATAAAAGTGATAGTTAAATTAATAAATATATAGTGTAACCAAACTTTTATATAGGGACTTAGAAATCAGAATTCATATTAAAGGGTCAGAATATATATTAAAGAACCACTGTTGGCCTCCTTTAGCTCCATAAATATAATTTAATATTTACATAAAATCCACATTTTTTATTGTATGTCATGATTTAAAATTATTTTTTTATTAATTTAATATCTTTTAGTTTAGAGTAAATTACGTGTTTGGTACTTAAATTATCAGTTTTAGTTAATTTTAGTACCTAAACTTTTATTTTTTTAAAATCATATCTAATGTTTAATTTTTGTTTCATTTTAGTACATCATCCTTAAAAACTAAGTGGGTGATTTGCACGTGGCACCATTTTTATGGGTAAATTGTATCATTCATCACTCAACTATCTTCTAACTCCTATTTTGGTCACTAAAGTTATTTTTTTAATTTAATTACTTAAATTTCAAATTACTCCTAATTTAATCACTCTAACTTTCATTTTTTAATTATATATTAATAACAAATTCACGTCACAAAAATTATTAATAAAATAAATTAGAGTGATTAAAATATGAGCAATTTGAAACTTGAGTAGTTAAACTGAAAATTTTTAAACTTTAGTACCAAAATAGGAGCGAGAAGATAATTGAGCGATGAATGATATAATTTACCCATAAAAATGCAGTGTCATTAAATTTTTAACTACGGATACTAAAATGAGACAAAAACTAAACATTAGATACGATTTGGAAAAAAAATAAAAGTTTAAGTACTAAAATGAACCAAAACTAATAATTTAAGTACTGAACTCGTAATTTACTCTTTAATTTATGAATGAAATATAAATTTGAATGACATAGACATTAAATTATATATATCAGATTGTTAAAAAAATTATTAGGATTCTAATATGCTTACTATGTGAGTGAAAATTATTTTTCAAAATTAATTTGCTGAATAAGTCTAAAGTTTTGGTTTTGGAAGTAAGGGAAAGCTACACGGCAAAGACGTAAGCAAATGAGAAGAAGTGCTCCGCAATAAAAGAAAGGATCTTTGGAGCTATACAGGCAACAAAGAATAGTGTAAGAGATAGGACAAAGAATTTTAGCAAAAGGTTTCTAGAACTTTTTTTATTTTTTATTTTCATTTTAAAAAAATATTTTTTATTTTATTTTAAAAAAAGATTTAATTAATTTAGATGAAAACTTATTTTTAGAAAAAAAATAAATTTAACAAAACATATAACTAATTTTTCTTTAACAATGACAACTAAATTTCATTAATGAAAATAGAGGAATTAAAATTATAACTCATTTAAAGAGAAAATTAGGGGCAATAGTCACCAAAAACTCATACATAAAATTAAAATATTAAATCCAAAGATACGAAGAGAATGAAACGTTTCAAATATCAAAACAATCCAATAACCTTCATAAAACTCATTGTCTCTGTCGAACGAGACGCTTTACGATGTGATAAAGGTGTAGTGAGCAAACCAAACAATTTGGCAGACTGTTTCGCTACACAATTCTGATTATATTGGCAAACGACCATTTACAAAAGAGTGGATCTGACAATATGTGACCACCGACAAGCCAATTAGAAAACAAATATCATTAGGATATCTGTGGTAGCACTAACACGACCGCAGAAGTATGAGAAAAACTTACCAAACCCCATAAAGGACGTGTCACAAAAGCATATGAAAGCGCGCCACAAGAACAGAGAAAAGCATGTCACAAGAACAAAGGTTCTTATTTAAAAGTGAAAAAACTCAAGAAAAAAATAAAGACATAATATGAAAAAGAACAAAAACAATAATAATCATTGACGGTCTACAATTAATATTAAGATTTATGCCTCAGTCGGCTAAACAAAAAACAAAGGAAGAAAAGAAGACGATATAAGAATATTGAGAAAAAAATTAGGTTAAAGAAAAGAAGACCACGCCATATATTTTTAATGAGAAAGAGGCAAATATAACTAATTGGATTTATTTTTTAGTAAAGTACACAAATCATCCCCAACTATAAAATATCGCTATTTTATTGAGTTTTTTAATTATTAAAAAATATAAAATAGTCAATTGACTATTCTATGTTTCAAGTTCGTCATTTTTTATTAAAAAATTAATATATATTTGCGATGGACGTTAATCTATTGAGATATGATAAAATATGATCCCAAAACCATTTGAGCTACCTACTCATTTGAGATTCTAATATCATATTTTATCTTATTTC